AAGGAATTAGAACTTGGGCAATAGATTTTATGATTTGGGTTAGCGTATCTAGGTGAAATCAACACCTAGCATTATTTTTTTAGCATTGTTTAATTAGTTAAGTTGTGGGTTTTGCTTTAATTTATTATCATTCATTTATATTTGTTAATTTGTATTTAGTTGTTTTAATTTTCCATCAATCCAATTTATTGTAGCTTTAATTAGGACTAAACTAGAGAAATAGTAATTAGTAACACTATCCTCGTACGAACGATACTCTACTAATCTTTATTACTTTTTGCAACTAGTGCACTTGCTACACATTGCATGTTGTAAAATCAACGCATCAAGTTTTTGGACACGTACCAAGTACGCTACATCCCTTTCATTTGTCTACAGTATCATTATAGAGAATCCCCGTCTTGTTTCCACATCCTTATTCTCTTTCTCCATTGATATGCAAAATGGATCCTGACATTTCTTTTTTTTTCATCTCTTATCATACATATAATAAAAAAAAAAAATATTTTTCTCGGGAATTCTCAGATGGAAAGGGACCCTTTTTTCCACTTTAAGAAAAAGAAAAAAAAAATTATCCACCGAACATTGCACATTTCAGTTTGAATTAGGGATTGCATACAAATAGAAGGGGTCTTTAACTACATACATCTCTTACCATAGTAATTATACAATCGAATACAAAAAAAAAAAAAAAAAAAAGAAGGAGGATTTTCAATGCGAGATCTAAAAACATATCTTTCCGTGGCCCGGTACTAAGTACTCTATGGTTCGGGTCTTTAGTAGGTTTATTGATAGAAATTAATCGTTATTCCCCAATGCGTTGACATTTCCTTTTTTTCATTCTAGTTATTGAAATAGAAAGGGGTGAAGAAGAGGAGAGATAGAATCAAATATTTGTCTCTCGTTCCCTCTTTTCTTGTTTTTTTTTTTTTTTTTTTGGAATTCGATAGATAGAATAAGGGGCAAACGAGAAAGGAAAAGTGGATTCAACCTCAACGAAACTGGGTTCAGGCTCCAATTAAATTCAAAATAGAGTTAAGTGAAAAGAAAAGCGAAATGGAAATGTGGCTAGGGGAAGATATCATACAATATAGATACTTAAATGAAATACTATACTGTGAGTAGAAATATAGTTAGAAATTTTTGTATTACTTACTATTTACTATATGGATTGCAACAAAACTTTATTTCAGAATTGGATTTTGAGTTGTTAGCAACTTTTATTTTTTTGGTCCTTTCTCTTATTCACTTGGATCGGAAAATAGAAAACTTGGGTGAATCAAAACCCGAAATGAGGTTCTTGGCTAAGGGTAAAGAGTCCGAGTAAGGGTTATTTTGGAGTACCGACTGTGTTCGAAAGTGTGTAATAAGGAATTGGCTGGTATTTCCAGATATATTACTCAAAAGAATCGACACAATACACCTAGTCGATTGGAATTGAGAAAATTTTGTCCCTATTGTTCCAAACTACAATTCATGGGGAGATAAAGAAATAGATATAGATTGAACCGAGTGCTTAGTGTCCCCTTCCAAGGAACATGACAAAAAAATTGATATGTATATCTATTATTATTCATATATTTAAATAGAAACAACTAAATAGAGCAAACAAATCCTATTAATCATTTTAGAAATAATTTTTTATTGGATCGGAATAGGATTTTAATGATTAGGATTGAGGCTAAGGAATAAAAAAATTATGGATAAATCCAAGCGGCTCTTTCTTAATACAAGCGATCTTTCGTAGGCTTTGCCCCCAATCCAATCGAGGGATCAAATTGATTATAGAAACATGAGTTTAATTAGTCGATTTACTAGTGAACAAGGAAAATATATCTGACGGTGAATATATTGACCTTAAAAGATCAACGATTAATACTATTGCTATAAAACAAGCTCGTATTTTATATTCGTTACATTTTCTTAATAATGAGAAAAAATTTGAAAGAAGTGAGTCGAACGCTAGAACTAAGGTCTTAGAATATAAAAAAATAGGCTTACCCTCAATTGAATCAAAATTCCAATCAGAACTCAAACACCTGGATGTTTTGGTCAACAAATCCTGAATCCGGTGTGTTGTAAGAAAAAAAAGAATTGGGGAATAAGAATAAATCTTTTTTATTGAACGTGTTCGCTCATTTTGACGATTTTATCATAGTAATTTCGATTCTACCTTCTAGAGTTCATTCTCCAGAGAACTCCATTTAAAAGATTCGGAGATTCCTTCCAACCTCCTTATTTTATGATCTCATTGGAAATCATATAAAGACAATTACTATTTGTATAGCTATTGTGCAAGTATTTACGATTAAGAAGCAACTGCCCCTATACAGATTGTGTATTAATCGACTATAAATATAGGTACTCGATTTCACCGAATTACTGCATTTATTCGAGTGATCCACAAATGACGAAAACTCTATTTTTCCATCTTACATGATGAGCCGAAGCCAAAGTCTTATTTTCTGTTGCTTAATGTTCTAGTAAGTCTTGAATGAGCCCCGTGAAAGCTTGAGGCAAATAAAAAAAGTTTTGTTACCTCCAAGCTATATATCCTCATCTAATTCAGGTCATTGAATAAATGAAACTTTGGAATAACTAATTGATTTCCTTTCTTTCAGTTATTCATTTCCCTTTCTAGTTATTAATAACAAAACGGATTCTTCCAATTTATAAGATGAAAATTCCAATGGCTTTTGCTACTATAACCTTCCCGACCACACTTTTTTCTTTTTTCTAGGGGCATTGGAAATAAAATAAAGTAGTAAATAGAAATAGATGAAGAAAGTGGGGGGTCCATCGTCTTATGGTTACTTCTTAAATGGTGAGGTCCTTTCTATACACCGGAGCCCTTCCCTCATTTAATAATCCTATTGTATTGGTAACTTGTAAAGTTACCACTCTTTGGCTCTACCATGAATTTTCTAGTAAAGGTCTTTCCACAGAGATATACCTTATACAGTAACGGTATTAATATGAAGTTTGGTTGGGTAGCTGACCCTGTTGTCCATTCTTGCAAGAGTAGAAACTATCTTTCCGCTTTTTAAATAGGAATTTCCCCCCGCTTAATGGATAACATTTGTTACCAATGGGGAATTCTTCTCATCTTAAATTCCGAATTGAGTGGATTGAATTTGCACCAATGGAAACCAAAATTTCATACACAATAGAAAGATATGATAGATCTATCCTTTTTAGTTTTAGATCGTGAATGGAGTTCTTCCATTCTATCCGATCAATGGTACTGATCATTGATATGGGAAATTTGTTTTCTTTCTTTTGTTTGTGTCAACCCATGATTTAAATGAGTCGCACATACACCCCGTACATGTTCCTCGATGCTGAGGGATCCCCAAGAGCGGGGGATTTCGTGACGTTTCTGATTGGTTGTCTTGGGTTTTAATAAGTTGTTTAATAGTTGGCATGCTGAATATACATTAGGGGTTGGTTTAGATCGGTCCTAGCCGGACGATATGAATTTCTTCTATTTAATAGATTATATAGAATATTAAACCCTTAAGAAGTAAGAAGATAAAATCAGAAATATGTATTTGCGTGAAATCACTGCTATTTTTTATACAAACGCTACAAGATCAACAATTCCATGAGCTTGGTTTCTGTTGTGACATAAAAATATCCCTTTCCAGTCTTCAGATACAACCCGTAAGGGCTTGCTGTTCTTTGTACATAAACCCTTGTAAGGGGTGCGCAGTTTAGTAGTTCTTCTGCTTCAGGATAAATTCGCCCGTTTGTGCTTATAAAAAGCGGCAATAGGTTGATGGATCATTACCTTGATTATATAGAAAGATAACATAATAAATGGTATAGATAATATAACATAATAAAAGATTCCTATAGCTCAACGATCCGTGGAGGGGAAGAGAGAAAGAATAAGAAAAAGATAGAATTGAACAACCGTACGGGCATTTTTGCGCATTGCATACGACTCTCCAATGGATTTACTTTTTTACCTTTCTCGAAGAAAGAGAAAATATGGGGTCTCTTATACCCAGATCGGTAAATGATCCAATTACCACTTCTTTTTTTTTTTTTTTGGAGGAGTTCAAAAATACTATGATGGCCCCGTTGCTTTTATTTATTTTCGGCTGTTATTCAGCAATCCCAAAGTTTCTTTCTTTTTTTATTTTCGTACTCTTGATAACCTAAATCCTGTTAATAATCCTTGGTGTGAAAAAAGTTCGTGATGCTGAAATAGGCCTACGAAGGTAAGATAAAGTCATAAATACCCTTCGTTTGTCTCATATTACTCTTTCGAACATAACGAGAACTTTTGAAAAAAATAAAAAATAAAGATCCTCGGATCATTCTCTATACTAAGTATACCATAAGACCAATAAGTTGATTCGAGATCTCGCTATCAACTTCTTGGCCTAAAAAAGAATCTTTCTCGATAAAGTCGGTTGATTGAGTCAAATTGTATCCTTTAGGAGCCGTACATGCACCTTTGATGCATACGGTTCAACATGCGAAAAAAATCAATGTGTAAACTCCAGCCTCTATTTTTTCATAGCGGGTCATTCTAACTTCTAGCGAATGGGCTTTTCTTCCATTTTTCAAGAACGCGACTTTAGCGGGTTTCTATAATAGAAAAAAAAATTCACTAAACTTATCGAACTAACTTTCATGATGTATTTTTTCATCGAGATCTAATTCAAAAATCACGATGTCATTTTCTTGTACCTGAATGGGCTTCTTCAATTTTTTAGGTTTATGCTCTACTCTGAGTAAGTATTTGCCTGATTTTGATTTGTGCATATAGGACAAATGACCCCAATACCACATCTTTTTTTTGCTATTACCCCCCCTTTTTTCAATTCATTTCTTTCATGCCTTCTGATAAATATTCGACGTATTCATATTCATTCCCTTTTGGATTCGATTGATTAACAGTTGTGACCTTCATGCATGATCAATTTGCACGTGCTAATCCCTTTAACTTCCACTTTTGAATTGTTACCTACATATATCTACTTTGTTTCCTATGATATTCGTTGAAACTCCATGAAAGCACTCATATCTTTTGTTATGTGGTCTGTTGCTGCTGAATCTACAGTCCACAAAGGATGAGATTCAATTAGAAAAACAGAACCGGAAACATTTATAGAACTCACTTGTGCAAACAAGTAATTTACCTTGTTCAGCTCGCTACAATTGCAAGCAAAATGTCCCTTGTTGCCACAGTTATAGCATTTCACCTTTGCCATGTTTTTCTTCCTAGCAGGATGCTTTTCTTTTCTGTGTTTATACAACTTTCTTTTCTTCCCTTGAGCCTTATCATTATTGCTTTTTCTTTGGGATCCACCTTGGAATTTACGCTTAAATCCCTTCCCACCATATGAATTGGAACCAATCATATACACATTAGTACTTGTCTTACTACCATTAAGGCTATTTTCTTCCAGTTCCAAATGTCGTGTGGCATCTTCTAAATTTTTGATGCCCTCATTGTGGGTAAGGTGTATCTTCATGTGTTCCCAATTTTGAGGAAATAATCTTATGATAGCTTGAACCTGTTGTTCATTAGTTAGGACATGACTTGCATCTCTCAACTGACTAATCATGTTTGACAAGTGCCTTACGTGTACTCTCATAGTATGTTCAGGCTTTTTCTTATATGTGTCAAACTTGATTGTAAGTGGCTGGAGTTTGGCAATGGACGTACCTCCAAACTTTGTAGCAAGGGCGGACCACATATCCTTTGCTAATTCATATTCTCGGTACTTTTTCATGAGATCATTGTCCATGCTGCTCAACGAAGTGATACGAGTAGTGGAATTCTTTTTCTTCCACTTGTCATAAGTCACACGATCTCTTCTATGTTGAATTGTGGCTCCTTCTTTAGGCTCTTCCATGGTCATGGTAAGAGCTTCAAGAACCTCTTGTTCTTCCAAGACATATTGGATTTTTATGCTCCATATCTCATAATTTTCGCCGTTAAATTTTTCTCTTTTATTAAGTTCAACGACAATGTTCTTAGATGCAGATGCCATTTCTAAAAAAATTACACATTGGACAATGCATGTTATTCAATGCTCGAAACATACATAGATTTAATTAATTATATCAATAATAATTGTATATTAGATTTGGAATCAAAAGTTAACTATGTCAACAATCATCATCCAAAATTCTAATCTCCAATTATCATAGATAATATTAATTACAATTCTAAAATAATATTAAGACAAAATCATATAAGTATAATTCAACATAGTGAAGAAAGAAAATGCAAGAAAACAGTAGAGAAGAGTAGAAAATTCGAGAGAAAACCTGGTAAAGCAAGAATAAGTAGCTTTTTTCATTAATTGAGTCAGTTGAAGCTAGAGAGCTTATATACAAAGCTAACTCAATGAACTTAACAGCTCTTTAACAATAGAGCAGCAATTAATAACAGTCAATAGAAGTCAACTAACAGAGGTGCATTCAACCAATCCTAACATCCTCCTGTAAATTGGACTTCCGCAGTTTAGTGTATCCATACTAATCCTAACATCCTCCTGTAAATTGGACTTCCACATCTTAGTCCATTCAACTAATACACATCCTAACATCCTTCTGTAAAATGAACTTCTCAACATATTACAGATTCCAAATTTGAAAGCAGCCAGCAATACTTTTGCAGCTAAATAGCAAAAACAACAGCAGTAAAGAAGTTTCCTCAGTATTAAGCATAAAGAAAATCTTCTCAATGGCATCAAAATTATTAAGAGTTTCCTAATTGCGACTTATGACTGTAAAGTGGCAGCATGAAAGAAATTTGATGCAAGTTTAGTTCTCAAAATTTCAAACTTGGATGCAGAGAGAGCTTTGGTGAAAATATCAGCCTTCTGATATTCAGTGGGCACATACTGAACTTTGAGCTTGTTGGAGGTGACTTGCTCTCTCACATAATGAGAATCAAGCTTAATGTGTTTGGTTCTTCCATGAAAAATAGGATTGGAAGTTAGGGAGCCAGCACTTTGGTTGTCACATCAAATGACTGGAACTTCTGATAAAGAGATACCTAATTTAGCAAAGAGACTACAGAACCATGCCAATTTAGTAAAGCCTTGAGTAAGAGCTCTGTATTTAGCTTCGATGGATGACAAGGTCACAACTTTTTGTTTTCTAAAGTGCCATTGAAACAAGTTAGAGCCAAGAAAGACACAACAACCACTAGTTGATCTCCTATCCTCAAGGCTACTGGCTCAATCAGCATCGGTATAACACTCCAAATTGAGTCTATGGCTTTTAGTGAAGTGTAAACCATAGTTAGTAGTGCCCTTGATATATTGAAGTAATCTTTTCCAGGCTTGCCAATGAGATTCTGGTCTCTCCTGATCTTATATCATTCTTCAGCACTCCAGAGATGGCGATTTTTTAGTATGATAACAATGAAATCTGGAAAAGTGTAAACATATGAAATTTAGCCCTTTAAATCAGATTTCCAATGGTTCAAGAATCATCTAGATAAAATATCTATAGCTTAAGTTATTGTCAAAACAATGAGGCGTGTTCAAAACTGGAGCATTTTCCAGGATTTCACTTCAACTTCAAATCACCACAACTTCTTCAATTCAACTCCGATTCTTGATCCGTTTGTTTCCAATCGTCACAAATTATCTTGCCAACATCATCTCTCATCCGAATATTATTTTTAAGCTTTATTCCCTGAATACACAACAAAAATACCTATGATCATGAAAAGTGCATTTATGAAACAATTATGTTAATTCATGCAAATTAATCCTAGTTTCCCATAAACGATACCTATAAACCACTAAGTATAAATGTATTCAAGCACTTATTAGCCAAAAAAATTTATTGAATCAAAGGTAGGTTTGGAGCTTGGGTTCTTATTAGACTTGTTTAATGGAGATGAAATTGAAGAAGAATCGGCCATTTTGACGTTGGTCAAAGGCTCTAATACCAAGTGAAGAAAGAAAATGCAAGAAAACAGTACAGAATAGCAGAAAATTTGGTAAAGCAAGAATGAGTAGCTTGTTTTATTAACTGAATAAGTTGAAGTTGGAAAGCTTATATTCAAAGCTAACTTATCGAACTTAACGACTCTTTAACAGTAGAGCACCAGTTAATAACAGTCAATAGAAGTCAACTAACGAAGGTACATTCAACTAATCGTAACAAACATAAATAGAATTCAACATGTAGTGACATTAAAACAAACAAATGTCCTTAAAAAAAAAAAAAAAAAAAAAAAAAAAAAAAAAAAAAAAAAAAAAAAAAAAAAAAAAAAAAAAAAAACCTAAATGTAATGCCACATCCCATAAACTAGGAAGGATCTGATAAGCCTTACCCTAAGGTCATTATCTAACTTGTAAGTTATTCTAGGCAAGGGAACTCCTAATTTCTTGTGATGTCCTTTACGAGTGGAGACTCCAATAGATGCACCAGCCATCTTTTTGGCACCCCAATCTATGTACTCCTTGATGTAGTTGTTGACTAAACATCTATAATCTTTATCGACATCTTTAGGGTTTTGAACTTTCAGCTTGTTCCAAACCAGATCAAGGAAACCAATAAGACTATGGTAATTTAGAGTCTTTCTAAGCACGTTGTATTTCATCTTAGATCTAATTAATCCCCCTTGCCAGACAATTTCCTGTATCTTTTCATTCACTTGAATGAAATGATTTACTTGTTGTACCAACTCATTCTCTGTGTCTCTTAATACTAAGGTGTGAGTTTATAGAGTTCTAATCATGTTCATTATCCTTTCCTTCTAAGCGGGTGTTCTAGCAGCCCTTGCACGTCTATAACTTAACATTTTTTTCTGTAACAAATACAAAACAAAATTTCTATTCATTTCTCAAATAAAGGTTAACTATATTTGACAAATAATATATTCACATGTGTTTATAGCTCAATAACTAAAATAGACCCGCAATATCATACCAAGGATGCATTTTATTCTTTAAAGAAAAGGAAATGACACTTTTAGAACCCTTCACGCCCTGACACACGCCAGTAGCAGCTGCCATGCGCCACTAGTGACTTGTCACGTGCCGCCAATGACATGTCATTGTCTACATACGCTGGATCCACACCCAATCACAAACTTCGGGTCAGTTTGACCCGTTTATTCTTTGATCAGGTCAACTTGGTTTCAGCTATTGACATTGTTTGACCAACCTGTTTGATCATACTGCTCAGGTTTTGATCGGGTCGGGTGACCCGATTGACCTTTGATCGGGTTTGACTAACCCATTTTTTCGGTTGAGTATATGCCGAGTCATTAACCTGGTTGACCATTGACCAGGTTTGACCAACCTGTTTGACATTCTAGGTCAAATACTCAGGTCAACTTGACCCGTTTGATTTTATTTTGGGTTGGGCCTGGGCTGAAATATTATGGTTTTTCAAGAATGACTAACACAAAGAAAATTGTAGCCCAGTGGTTAAGGTGTTGGGCTTTTATTCATGAGACTTAGCTTCAAGTCTCAATAACTATGTTTTTTTTTTTTTTCCTTTAACAGTTTTAAAAAATGACATGTCGTATGGAGGGCTGAAAATAAGATGACATGTCAGTCATTATGGTCATCTTCAACCTCTATCCTAGTTTGCAACTTGGTACTCGACTCGGAAAATAACCCATTACGAACCAAGTTCTTTAAAAAACCATAACTTAGCCATTTCAACTCCATTTTTTTGTGATTCAAAAGCCATTCTCTTCATAATTTCTTAAGGAATCTAATAATCTAACTATTATTACCAGAAAATAATTCTATAAACATGAAAAATGAAATTTCAGAACTAAACTTAAATAACATTCAGAATGCTTTAACGTAATAGCACAAAATTTAAAAAAAATATGCAAACCATGGCTCTGATACCATTGTTAGAAAATTAAGAAATATATAATTTCTAATTCATCCCAAGATCATCAATATGTCATTATTGCAATCACACTACTAAATGAACTGCAATAAAGAGATTCATGACATAAATACCTCATTTCCTTAACTATGAAGCAAAAGCGTATGTTGAGTGACAAAACCACTGTATTCTTTTGTGTATTAGATATTTTAATAAATTGGAGGAGAAGTTGTCATTCTAAAAAGGGAAACTTCTTCTTTTATAGATGCGGCAGTTTTAAGTGGTAACTCCCTCTGCTAGTTTTCACATGTAACATACTTTGGGTAGGTTCCATCATAGGTGTCCCACCCATATCTAATAAGTTAGATTGAACCATTTGCCCTAGCCTTCTTGGTTAATCTTTTCTTTTGGCTTCTGCTCAAAGAAATGCTTCCTTTGTCAATGAATTTCTTTTCATCCACTATTTTAAGGTTTCCAAAAGGCACTATAATAGGGGAAAAAGAGTTCAACTCCATAGGTTGAGCTTGATCGTGCAAGGGAATCAGAGTTCTAGCTTCCTCTTCTTTATTAGATGGATTCTCCCTACTAAGGATAGAAAACCCATTGGACGACTCAGTAAGGGGGAGAAAGGATGACTTTTCAAGGGAAGAAAAGTTAGGTTAAGTCCGAACTTCTTCAGAAGGCTTAATCTCAACACTTTGAGGGTGACTGTCCAGCCTCGGATCTAACATGGTAGCTACTTTCTTTTTATAAACTTGCCTCCATTCCATGCTTTCCCAAAAGGTTTAAATGGAATGACTTGTTTGAGATTAGGGTTCACCTTAGGGGCTAAGGCACACAACTTTTGGTATGGCCAAAGGACTTGCACATTGCATAGACGGTCTCCACTGGTACTCAATGTTCACCTCAATAACTTCACCATTCAACATCTCCAATTCAATAGAATCCGGGAAAGGTGATGAAGCATCCTTCTTCACACAAACCTTAGCGAATTCAATTTTTTTCCCTTCTTCTGTAATAGTATCCATGTAAAGGGGAAGGC